TAATTTTTTTTATTAGGTTTATAATTCAATTAGGTAAATTTACATATATATATATATATATTGCTGCTATTATGTCAATAGCAACTGCTTCGCTGTCCAGTAGACTATAATATCGGATTTTTTCCTTCTCACTATTGATCGCTTTACGTTATTGATAACACTGCTAATTTATAAGATTTCCTTTTCCATTAAAAAAAAAAATGGAAAGAAAGAAAGAGGAAAAAAAATCGATGGATATCACTACGGGAAAATTGGGGAAAGCCAGCGTTTTTATGGCTGAAAGGCTGCAATTTTAAACGCTATTACAAATTGTTCCAGCATTTGTAAAATCGCTGTCGAGACGCCGCTTCTAAAGTAGTCGCCTTTTGTAATTTTTTTATATTTTATTTTAATATAATTTTTATATATTATTAAATGAGTAGATACATTTAATATTATGAATTTTATATAAATAATAATTAAAATATATTAAAACATAGTAAAAAAAAATTATCTCAAAATCATTTCTCTTTTTGGAAATGCAAGTATAAGATACCGAGAGGTAGGGATTTTATAAATGCTAAGATGGGTGATTAAAAATGCTGCCTTTCGATCCCCTCAAAATGCCAAAATGCAGACAAAACAAAACCCAGCAATTTAAAGCTATATATTTGGTATTTTCAAAAAAAAAAAAGAAAGCTATAGATTTGGTAGCATTTTTAAGCGTTGGTCTATCTACTTGTTATTAATTATTATTATTATTATTTATCCAAAAAAAATGCTAGTGAAAAGAAAAAAAGATATTGAGACATTCAAATAAACATTAAAGAAAAAAATATTCATTAATCTCATATCAGCCAAGTATCTCATTCAAAAATTGCATTCTAAATACATTTATTGATCTCCCACATTCTACATGCCAAGGTAAAAAAGTTCACATTCAAAATAAAGAGTCATTCCTAAGGAAAAACTAAATCTCTTAATTTTCCATGCCCGTCCATTTAGCCATAACTGAAGTGGAAGGAACTGAGAGTTGCCCCTAAACAAAACAAATAAAGAAACTGAGTTTGTGTCAAACTCTTCAAAGATAAATAACACACAGTGCTCAAGCTTGAACAGAGTTCTCTAAGATGAGATACCTGTACTTGTGATAACAAGAGGTCCATCACTTGGCCATATTTGGAGTATTGGATATCTTCAAAACAGCAATCCTGTATTAGTATAGTCTCTTAATCAATATAATTAGCAAAAATTGCAAACTGTCCTGTGCTTCTCAAGTATGTTTTTAACCTGGCATAAAGAAGAGGCCAAGAAGCTACCTTTTTCAGTAAATTATTTGCAGAATTCAAATTTTGTTTAATATAATGACCACTTAACAAAGTATTTTCTCTCTACTTAATAGTAGAAATAACCAGTTGTCACTATTTGATTGACTGTGCTCATCCCAAAAACTATATTTTCATTGTATACTAACCGTAACAGATCATCCATCTTGAGAAGAAGACAAATCAGGTCTGTACATACCTGAGAGAAGATGAAACAGGGTCTAA